CGGGGTCTTGGCATCTTTTATGCTGAATGTTGGAATCAAGTCTCTATTGCCAAGCTCATTGAAGATTCAACGTAATAATGATTCTCTTTGGATTAAATGGGTCCATGAATAATATCTCAAAGGCTTTGATATTTGGCACGTCTCTGTTAGAGTTGGCGATGCGTGGCAACGGAAGCAAGTGCTTAAGGTGGGGATCCTTTGCTCGCTAAATGGTGTTCTGCTGCTGCTTGTGAGCACAATCTCTCTATGTGGTGTAAATAATATGCCGAAGCTCTCTTTTGTGTATCATATGCTCTGTGATTTGGATGTTATTGCTGCTTTGGTTTCTATGGTTTGGTGACCTTTAACTGTACCTATATGCATTGTCTAATTGAGCGGTTTGCAGCAAAATGGAAGCTTCTCGCACAAGATGGACGACGCTGATTGGCAGCTCTAACTAGTGATATCTATGTTTGAGTGAGGTAGTCTTCTAATTACGTATTCTTTTAGGAGGTTTTAGCACTTAGCTCTATACTTCCGGCTGGCAACTGCTCTGATACCATTTTGTCACGCCCCGGGCCCACGGGCCTGTTGGCGCGTGCAAATCGTAGGACCCACCAAGAACAACTCGATGTTGGCTTAAATCCACCGTCAAAATGCTAGCACTAGTTGTTCTTGGGCCTTGGGTTTTTCTCTATTTAAACTACTAACATTTCTTCACCCTAGTCCATGTGAGACTAAAGTGGGGGTGTCACAATCACCCCACCATACAAAAACGACGTACTCGTCGTCTCGACATGACAATTGGCACATCCCAGTGTCACTGTCATGCGATGTGGACTCTAGAGGTGGCTCCTACGGGCTCTAGAAATGACACCCACCGCATCCACGCGGTGTATCACTTAACCCCGTATAGCACTTAGCTCCACACTTTCGGCTGACAACTACTCTGATACCATTTTTTCACGCCCTGGGCCTATGGACCTGTTGGCGCGTGCAAGTCATGAGACCCACCAAGAACAACTCGATGTTGGCTTAAATCCAACATTAAAATGCCAGCACTAGTTGTTCTTAGGCCTTGGGCTTTTCTCTATTTAAACTACTAACATATCTTCATCCTAGTCCATGTGAGACTAAAGTGGGGGTGTCACAATCACCCCACCATACAAAGACGACGTACTCGTCGTCTCGACATGACAATTGGCACATCCCAGTGTCACTGTCATGCGATGTGGACTTTAGAGGTGGCTCCTACGGGCTCTAGAAATGACACCCACCGCATCCACGTGGTGTATCACTTAACCTCGTATAGCACTTAGCTGCACACTTCCGGCTGACAACTGCTCTGATACCATTTTGTCACGCCCCGAGCCCAAGGACCTATTGCCGCGTGCAAGTCGTGGGACCCACCAAGTGTTGGATAGAGAATTCCTAATCTATTTTGGTAATATGTTATTAGGATTCCTAATTTGATTTGGTTTTGGTTTAGAATTCCTAGTATGTTTATGATTTTAGGATTTCTATATATATGGAACAATTGGAAGAGAAAATTGGAGGAGAAGAAAAATTGGGGATGTTTGGAGCACAGAAAAGAGGTATTTTCTGAGCTATTTGTTTAGGGTTTTGTTTGGAGAGATTAAGAGTTTGTTGGTGAGATTAGTTTGTTCCTTCAAGTGATTTGTAATCTCAGTTTGTACTTTTTCTCTATTAGTGAAAACCCCATCCCCTTCTTGCCCCGTGGACGTAGGAAACTTGCCGAACCACGTAAAACTATTGTGTTTGGATTTGTGCCGTTGTTTTGATTTGTTTGGCCTTTATCTCGATGTTTGTTTGATTTGGTTCTCGAAGCACGCCCGTTTGGTTGTCACGCTTCCGCGACGCGCACAACAATTGGTATCAGAGCTCGGGTTACGTTTGGGCTATTTGGAGGAGTAGATCAATTTGAAAGTTCGACTAGGGCTTCGTTTGGTGAGAAATGTGGGATCTTTTTGGTAAAGACTCTATCTTTTTTAGTTAGGATCTATTCTTCGTTTATTCCGCATTGGTTTGTTGGCGCTTGGGCTATTTGGAGGAGTAGATCGCTTTGGAGGCTCTTCGAGGGCTTCGTTTGGAGATAAATGTGAGATTTTTCCTATTTGTGGATCTCGTTGCCGTCGTGCGGGGGGAGATCGTTTGGAGACTCTTGTTAGGGTTTCATTTGGAGGTAAAATTCTCTCCTTTATCAGTTTGGATCTATTCTTCATTTGTTGGTGCTTTGAGATAGTTGGCCGAGATAGAAGGATTTGAGGCTGAGTTATTTGTTTATTGATACGGTGCATTGGATTATTGAGAAGTGCCATTGACCTGCATATTGAAGTCCTTTTGAGCACGTTGGTATGAGCAAGGAGACCAAGGTGGAGTTTGGCACTTCTATTTGATGATTGAAGGGTCTTCTATTTGGTGTTCATTCAGGCATTTCAGGGCCTTCCAAAGAGGCATCATTGGAAGGTAAATTGGTATTTTGGTTTCCTATGTTGGGGATTGTACTAGGCATTTGTGGGTTGCAACCAAATCTCGTTGGTTTTGAAGTCCTAGTAGTCAACAACAATTGAAGAAGTGTATTGGGAGTAAGGTGAAGGTACTTCATTCTGGTTGTAGAAGGAGGTACAAGAGGGACCTACTGTATTTGTGCCGAGCTCATGGCAATTTGAGACACTTCATTAGTGTGGAAACTTTGAGGCGACAAGGCGAGATGGCAGATTTGGATAGCTGTTCCTTTCTGGAGGAGGATCGGCGTTTGATGTCGAGCATTGGCATTGGTGTGCAGGCTACGACATGTTTGGGCCGTCTCATGTACAGGTTGCCAACTGCAGATTTTGGGTTGCGTCGGATGTTTGGCTACCCAGCACTTGGTCACATCGTGGATGTGAGATTTGATCCGATAGCACATTTGGGATTCAGAGGCGTGTTTGATTATCAGGTATTGGCTTCTGACTTTGTTCTGAGCAGGTATGTCACGTTTGACTCTCGGCAAGTGGAGAGTATTGATCAGATCTTTAGGACATCGCAGTGGGTGAAAAGTGATGCTACTCCACATTGGGAGATAACTCCAGATCATACTGCATCATTTGGGATTCCAGCTGATGTGACTCAGATTGGGAAACGTGTTGATTTGGATGCAGATGATAGGTTGATTGATTCGAGTACAGCTGATGGATGTAGTCTGGATATGGCTATTGGTTCATCTCAGGTGGAGATGTTTGGATTATTTCAGTTTGGAGCCATTAGAGGTGCTATCAGCCGCAGACTTGATCGTGATATTGGAGAAGGGTTGCGAACTCTTCTAGTGGATTGAGGCCTTTGGAGGCCATTTGGGTGAACTACGTGAAGGCTTGATTCCTTGGGCAAGAGGATACGTAGGCAGTCAGTTTTGATGCAGCCGATTTGGTGAGTAGATACCGACGTTTGGGTGAGTGTTCGCACTCCCGTTTGGGTCTCGACTTGTTGTGGATTGAGTGTTTTTCTGGCCCTCTTGATTCTCTCCATGAGCAAGAGGTCCACTTTCAGTTCGGAGTCCCTTTTCGATAAACGAAAGAACTCCTTCCCTTTTTCTCTTTGGTTAAACCTTGTTCATGGTTATAACCGGAGTTGAAAATACCACTTCGATAAACGAAGGACCCATTTTCAGTTTAGATAACCCATCCTATAAAAGGCAAGTTTATCTAAATTTTCCAGACTCTCGGAGTGGACACCCCACTTCTAGTTTATTCTTCACTGGAAATAGAATATAAAATTCTTCCTATCCAGAATCAAGGAATAGAATATAAAATTCTTCCTTCCTTGTCTGTTGGGTTCGCCTTCACCCTAAAAGACGTAAAACTATTGTGTTTGGATTTGTGCCGTTGTTTTGATTTGTTTAGCCTTTATCTCGACGTTTGTTTAATTTGGTTCTCGAAGCACGCCCGTTTGGTTGTCACGCTTCCGCGACGCGCACAACACCAAGAACAACTCGATGTTGGCGTAAATCCACCACAAAAACGCTAGCATTAGTTGTTCTTAGGCCTTGAGCTTTTCTCTATTTAAATTACTAAAATTTCTTCACACTAGTATACGTGGGACTAAAGTGGGGGTGTCACAGGAAATCTTCAGAAAAGGTTGGGAATGCTCTGACATGGTCAAGAAGTACCCAAAAAATATGATCAGATCTATTGCATCGGTCAGCTTTGATTTGCAGGAGGAAAACTGTTCGAAAGAAGATACTTGAAGCTAGCGTCGCTGCTTGCCTTATCACATTTTCTCTGAAAGAAACACAATTTTTTACCCTTTCCTTGTTTGCCCGGAGAGCTTCTTCGATCCGGTAGCAGTTTGATAGCTGTGATTGAATGAGAGGTTGTAATGAGAGTTTTTAAGGCTTGCATCCTCTTTTCATTGTGTATACAAACTATCTTTTGATACTTCTGGGTTCTTTTGTATTTCTTAATTGGCATTTGTTGATCTCAGGTATTGTCTGAGATCTCCTTGAATTGAGCTTCATTGCTCATTGATTAATGAAACTGTCATTTACATACCCCCCGCCCCAACCAAAAAAAAAAAAAAAAAAAAAAAAAAAAACAGAAAAGAGAATTGATGAAATAGTTATTAGGCGGCCCAGTTGTTAGTGTTTTCTAAAGTAGCCCCTCCAGAATAGAGGTAGCAATTGAGAGATTGGTTTAGAATAGCTTATGAGAATTGAGGTACCTAATAGCAATTCAAAGATTTCAGGCACTAATTTCAAAACGGCTGACTAATTGTGGGACTTAACAGGTTTAGGATAGCTTATGAGAATTGAGGTACCTAATAGCAATTCGAAGATTTCAGGCACTAATTTCAAAATGGCTTAATATTGGGGACCTAACAGTAATTTCCATGATTTGATCTGCGAATTTGAAAATATGACAGATATAGGGGACTTATATCTAAAAACTCTTTTTTGCCTAATAAGTTACCTAAAGCCCAAACATCAATCCTCTTTATAAAACGCTCCCTTCTACGTAGAAAATACAACAACAATACTAAAGAAAACAAAAAAGAAAAACACAAAGCTAAAAAAAAAAGGTGGGGGGAGAAAGAGAGAGCTCCCATACGATATCTTCAAATCCTCGGCGGCCTCTCTCGGTTCTAATCGCCGATCTGCTCTCTTCCTCGCCATCTGATCGGCCTCCCCACTCGATCGACGGCGGAGATTGGCTCTGGATCGACGGCGGAAATCCCATCAGTTGAGCCGTCCACTGGATTTGGGGGATATCTAGGGTTAGATCTCTGGAATTGTTCATTTAGGGTTTTGAGTTGGGCGAATGTATAGGAAATCAAGGCTGTCGCGGACTGCCGGTTCTTTTACGACTCGGTGACGATTGTTTTTGCGAGAAAGCGGTGTATTTGGATTAGATGTGGGTATTTCCCCCTGTTTTATCGTAATTACTTTTATATTTAGGTTTATTACTTTGAATTAGTTTGTTATTTTGTCAATTTGCTGCTGTATTGTGTCGATAATGGGATGATTAGGGTTAGATACTGATACTGTTTCTTGTTTATTAGAAGACTTGAATATATGATTATGATGAAAGCATATTGGATCTGTGGTAGGTTTGTTAGGTTGTCATTTCCTGCAAACTTCTAGGATTCTTGATTTCTTTTTGTAAGAACCCCTGTCATTAAACTGGGCAATTTCTTTCTCTTTTTTCTTCTTTTGAGAGGTAGATTACTAAACTGGGTAAGTAAATTAAAATGTAATTTTATCATATGGCATACCCCTAATTCTCGGTTTACCTGGCTGAGTATTTGGGGAGGTTCATATAGCTGCGTATTTTGGGTGCAAATTTGATGCTTTTGCTGAGTTGAAAACCAGGTCATGGTTATTTCCACTTCTTATTTTGTATGCTCTCTCTCTCTCATGCATGGACAATGGAATGTTGAAGCTGTAATTACATTTATGTTGATATTCCTTTTTATTTGTGCATTTATTCTTTTCATCTGTGTCCTGATGGCTTACCTCTTCTGTGATAGAAATCCATTTGTTACAACGCGAGCTTTACTTTCTTGTTTGAATATTTCCTTATAATATTTTTTGGCTTTACTTTCTTGTTTGAATATTTCCTTATAATATTTTTTGTCTTGAACTTCAGGTATGGCGTTAATTCTGGCTCTTAGGAGGCAAAAACACCTTTAGGGATGGTTTTTTGTTAGTATGGCACCTTTATATTTTTCAAGGAAGGTGCTTGAAAAGGTCAATTCAATGGATCCAGATACGAATCCCGGTCTCCCTACTGAGCCAGATGTGGATATTGACCTTAGGGAAGTTTACTTCTTGATCATGCATTTTCTAGCAGTGGGTCCATGCAAGAAAACTTATGGACAATTCTGGAATGAACTTTTGGAGCATCAACTTTTGCCTAGAAGATACCATGCTTGGTACTCAAGGAATGGTGCCCGAAGTGAGCATGAAGATGACGATGGCACGTCTCTCCCATTGTGTTATAGTAACTTAGTCGAGAGGTATGTTACATGATATTGTTGCTGTAATTTTAAATAAAAATTTCCCCTTTTGCATGGAATGAAATAAGAGACACAGTCTATTTCAGGGGTGTTATTTTGATAACCTGTCTATGCAGGTCACTTCTTGCTATCTGGAAAGTGGTGTGTCCTTCTGTAAAAACTTGTTTCCATCCGTATTTAAAATACAAGGTCTAAACCTTCATTGACCTAAAAGTTATACAAGATTAAGTATGTTTATGTTCCATCTTAAGAAAAAAGAAAAAACAAAAAGAAAAAACATTTTACTAGTCAATGTCCTTTGAAGGATTCGACCCAAAATATGTAGTTAGGAACATGTTCATAATCTCATGCATCATTCTTTATTTAAAGGTTCTAAGACCGAGGAAGATCTAATCTTTGACATTCTCAAGCTAGTTGACAGCCATAATGTTGATTCTTTTTGTCAATTAAGGACAAGTTAGCTTATCATGATAAGCCTTGCAACAAACTCTAATACTTGCTCAACAAAATTTGATAGAAAAATACCCGTTTTATCCAGGTGTACAGCGCAATGCAGGGCACATAGCCTCTCCGTGTGCACCATGCACAAGGCACAGAGTGATGCGTGCGCCTCAATGAAGCAAATCACGCACCATAAGCATAATTTTTTTGAATCTATAATCGAACAATATCGCTTGGTTAGGCCTCCGGCTATGTATATTGTATAAGATTCAATTCATATACAAGCATATATTATATATACAACTAAACCGTGATGGAAAGAAGTGGAAAGAAAAGAATGACATAAAAATAACCAAAAATCGGTAGAAAGGGGGACAAAAGGAAAAAGAAAGGCATGAGAAATTACCCCTGGAGTCACCTCCTCTATATGTCCTGAAGAGAGCTTGTGCCGTGAGAGAAGGGAAAAAGAAATGATAAGTGATAACCAATTTGGTCCTTAATTGGGCTTCTAAAATGGCCTAATGGATTTAGTTTTCTTTCTGTATTCTGCGTAGTGGATATAAGGATCTGACTGAAATGTAAAAGAACAAAAATATACAAGATGAAGCCTCACATGCGATCTGCACGAAGTGCGGGGCACTTGCGAGATGCAAAAATGTGCAACCTCGCATTTGTGAATCGCCCCACATCTGATCTGGGGCGCTTTGCCACCACTATGCACTGCTAGGCATATGATGTCCAGTGAGGAACACGCCTTTGATAGCACTGCTTGATGCATAGGAAACAGAGCCTATGCAAAGAGCACAAGTGCTCCGCAAGAGAAGCCTCTAATAGAGATCTACCAGCTTACTGATTTATGTGGAAGACTCGAGTTCAACTCCATTTTCGAAGTATAACTTTGCTAATTTGGAATTTTAGCGAATTGAAATGACTTTAGGTCTATTATGGAAAGGGTATGTCCCTAGATTTTTTTTCCTGGAGTTCTGTTAGATATGTGATTTACTGGGATAACGGTTTTATATAATCCTTCTGAGAAAAGAAGTCCTTGTGGGGAATTGGGGTGAGTCTCCATGGGACAGAGCAATACATCTTAAATTATAAAGATTGTTTCAATTCTGATATACTACGGGATAATAAACCCTTAGGAGCGTGATTTTTCCTCTCTCCCACACCTTGAAATTGTCTCTTTATATTGATAATGTTTTGTTGGGCTTTCAATATCTAAAATTAACTAGAGGGACTTCGGCATCCAGTGTTCGAAAAATTGGTTATTGACCAAACAAACAGAAGCGAATAACCACTGCAAAGTGCATGGACTTCGTCCCTTATCTGGACAACCACATAATGAATCGAACTTTAAGAAAGCGCCGACAGTTAATTATGCATCTTTTTTACTTAATTAATCAGGTCAAACCTGAATCTAAAAGGAAACAAAGTTGACCCGACCTGTACCTGTTTTTATGAAAATAAAAAGAAGCTTACAGTCCTCATTTCTTCCTTGATTCAGCCGACCCCTGCTGAAAAATACCATACTTCTTTGGGTCTCGCTTCAATGACCATCGTTATCATCTCTCTTCTCTCACCATTACCATTCTATTCTATTGCTATTGTCATCGCCTCTCTATAACGTAGTGTCTAGACATTGACTATTTGGGCATCAACTTGATATTTTATATACTCTACTAACTAAATCCTTGTTAAATTTATTTTATAAACATTAAATATACAACACAAGATTTCGAAGCTAATAGCTAAGTAGTTGGAATTTGCAAATTGATGAAGTATCATTTTTTCACAAAGGTTCCTTGACGGGCCCAAGTTGTCATGGATGTACATGTAATTAGAGAAAAATCAACCTTGAGTTCCGCAACTTCCAACTGTTGTCATTGATCCAAACTTTATTATAAAACCATCTCCGTGTTAACTCAAATTCAACTGGAATTCATTTCCTTCAAATACTGTGTGACGGTGAAAGTCCAATACCTGAATGGAATTCTGATCTGAGGAGTTTAAAGCATGTTGTGTTGTGCATTCTGATGGAGATTCATTGTGTGAAAATTTGTACTTTATCATTTAACTTATCAAAATGATTTATCTTTTTCTGGTGCAACTGAACTGGAGTTGGTCTGAGTCATCAGCATGTGTTAAATGACTGAACCCAGAAATCTTATTGTAAGCCCATCCATTTGCTCATCTTGTCACCAAGTAAGATTTTCTTTGAGAAATTAGACCCAGTTTGTCTGAAATGCTTTTGCTAGAACCCTCGTGGGTTTTGAGTAAACTATTTTTTTCTTCTAAAGTTCTAATTAGACGTTGAATATGATTTTTGATCAATTTGTGTTTTGCTGAATAGAATTTTATGTGACAAACTTGAAAGAGGTTAAAGGGTATTCTGTGATGGAGAGTCCCTGCACATATCCATTCTAAATCTATTCAACAGTTCAGCCCTTTGTTTATTTGAGACCTTGCATCTAGCAATTAGTATGTAAGCTTATTAGTAACGGTGATAGACAGTGCATCGTTTCTTTGGACTGGGATGGTACATCTATTAATGCATTGCATACTTCACCATTACCGGGAATGCATTGTCCCCTCTCTTGTATCATGTAAAATTTGTTAGAATTTCATATTTTGAAGGGAAAACATACTCATATCTGGAAATTTGAGAAGTCATATTGTTTACTTTTGTAATTTAGATTTAGGAATTTCAAAACATAGATGGATTCAGACCTTCCTATAAATGCATGTGTTTGTCCATGTACATGTTTAAATATCACTTTATCCAAATTGCAAGTGTTTTTTGGTTTTGATATATCAGTCTGTTGGATGCAACAAAGCATTTTTTAAATGAATCTAGGACACATTAACAATCTTACAAATTGGAGGACATATTTTTAAAAATTATGTTATGGTCATGCATCATCTAGAATATAGACAGCTAAATTTTACCTTAGTTGGTTAGTGCATGTTATCCTTTTATCACCGTCATTGCTTTAGTGTTATGACATGAATCGTATATTATCATAACCGATTTATTTCGTGAATGGTTGGCGCTTCTTAATGTCATAACTTCGACTTTTTATTGGTTTATTAACTTTGTAGGTATCCTCACATTGCAAAAGATCACTTGTTAAAGCTTCTTAAGGAACTGATAGTGAGCTGTTCCCCTCAGTTACATGGCGTTATTGGAGGAACCCCTCCAAATGCAGCTGACATACCAACTATTCTGGGGACTGGTTCCTTCTCACTTCTTGCTTGTACGTGATGTATTTTATCTATTACTTTCGTGCTTATGAGCTTGATGGGTCTTCCTACAGAGAAGTTTTTTTTTGTTGGGGAGAAGGGGGTGGGGGGGG